GGCACTAGTGTTTTTTTGTTGCACGTAGGTTTAGAGCAGTGGGAAGTGTGGGGCGTAAAGAGTGCAGTGTGAAGTGTGAAGTGTGAAGGAAGCAGTGGGAAGTGAAAAGTGTGAAGTGTGGAGTGTGAAGTGTGGAGTGTGAAGTTTCAGTTTGGAGTGCGAAGAGCGCAGTGTGAAGTGTGAAGTGTGAGGTTTGGAGTGTGAAGGAAGCAGTGAGAAGTGAGAAGTGTGAAGTGTGAAGTGTGAAGTGTGGAGTGTGAAGTGTGGAGTGTGAAGTTTCAGTTTGGAGTGCGAAGAGCGCAGTGTGAAGTGTGAAGTGTGGAGTGTGAAGTTTGAAGTTTGGAGTGCGAAGAGTGCAGTGTGAAGTGTGGAGTGTGAAGTTTGAAGTTTGGAGTGCGAAGAGTGCAGTGTGAAGTGTGGAGTGTGGAGTGTGAAGACTTTGCTTCGTCTCTCGCTGAAAAAATCAAACGGTTGTCGAGGGAAGGACACGGTCGGGACAGGGTGTCTTTGAACTATAGGTCATTTATGTTTGGGAAACTTCCGCCGCCGGCTTGCCCGGGTCTATGTTAGTAGTAGTAGTAGTAGTAGTAGTAGTAGTCGTAGTGGTAGTAGTAGTAGTAGTAGTAGTAGTAGTAGTAGTAATAGTCGTCGTCGTCGTAGTCCTAATCTTAGTCGTAGTCGTAGTAAGCTACCCCTTGAAGCCCCCCCTGAAGCCCGCCTTGATGCCCCCCTGGAAGCCCCCCTTGAACCCCCCTTGAAGCCCCTCCTTGAAGCCACCCTTGAAGCCCCTCCTTAAGCCGCCCCCTAAGCCCCCCCTTCATCCTCCCCTTAAGCCCCCCTTGAAGCCCTCTCTTAAGCCCCCCCCTTAAGACCCCCCTTAAGCCCCTTCTTAAGGGCTTCCACCCTTCAGGGGGGGGGAAAAGGGGGGCACCCTTCATGACCCCTTAAGCCCCCCCTTAAGCCCCTCCTGAAGCCCCCTTCAAGCCCCCCTTCGACGAAGGGGGTGGGCCCGCCCTCACCATATCCTTCTTCTGAAACTGGAGTCGCACTTCCGCAGATTCAGCTGGTGCGACCTTGGCCACTTCGGCTTTCACGGGTGCTGAACCTCGCTGCAGCATCGTTCCGAGCCATTTCTTCCGCCAGTGAAGAGTATGCCAAAGAAGGCCAAGGCATGAGCCGACAGATTAAAGGGTCTGTGGGAAGAATGCAGCTACCAACACCTTCTCCAAAGAGAGCAGTGGCGTCTTGATCGGCGGCCTCTTAGGCGGTGTCTTGGGACGCACAACATCAGGTCTGGTCGATGAAGAGGCAATCTCTCCCTGTGGTGGGTCTTGGCTGAACTTCACAGGAAGCTTTGGTGCTGGTGGTGGCTGCATGGGTGCAGATGTCGCAGAAGACTGCGGCGGCACACTTGGTCGGCTCCTTGCAATCTTTGGGCTCTGCTCATTGGAGGTGGCGGCGGAGGAGGCAAAGATTTCCTTGTAGTCTCAACCGAACTCATTGTTTCCAGGTACTGTTCATCCACCTGAGACGCTGAATCCTCTGGGCCCATCTGATGGGTCTCCGCTGCGCAAGATCGTGTGTCCCCTCGTTTGCAGACAAGCTTCTGTGACTTTGTTGATTACATAGCTGATGCTTTGGATTTGTTTGACAGTGTGCAAGGCATTCTTATCCTGGACTGCTGTCAGGCACGCTTGTCTGACCAGTTCCAGCAGACGCTTTCGAATCGCAACTTGCTGGCGGTTTTCGTGCCAACTGCAACAACTGGACATTTGCAACCTTTCGATGTTGGCACCTTCAAGCCGCTGATTTTTTTTTGAGAAGAAGAGCATGCCAGAAAATGGTTGACTCCGGTCGCTTTGCCAACTGGATTGGATAGAAAGCGTCAGTGATCAGACTGGGATGATTTTCCGGCAGCATACTGAACCCATAAAGACGCTGGGCGCCCAAAGGGGCGCCAGGCGCGCGAAAGCCGCACGCCCTAGACGGCATGTGACGGAAGAAGGTATACAAGCTGAAGGCCCAGGAGACGGCATGGTGTGAGCTTATGTTTTCACTGTTGCAATCTAATGCATTTGGGTTGGCTGCTCATTTTGAAAAGAAGCGAGAACATATTTTTGGGCAAATTGTATTCGAAGGGTTCCTCAATATGGCTTCCATCTTGTTGAAACGGCTTTGCGGAGACTATTGAAATTGTGGAGTGCCGGTGGGCCTAACTTAAGACTTGCGTGTTGTTGTTTTTCATGCTTGCTACGCAGAGCTGGAAAGAACAAGCAAGCATGCTGGAACAAGAATGGACGCTTCAAAGGCCACCCTGGATGCAAATACATGGCAACACAGAACAGCTGCATCGCCAGCGCCTCTAGACCTAGGCAATCAGAGATCTTAATCCGGGCACCTCCAAAGCTGTTCCGGGCATTCTGGATTGGGAATCCCACCAAGGAGGGTGTCGCTGGGGATGATTCAAAATGCCGCATCCCACTTGGAAAGCTTAGAAAGGTTGGACTGGCCACATATACAAGAGAAGCAGCTGAGGCAACAATGTTTCTTTTGATTGTGGATTCCGAATCCCACCAAGCAGGGTGTCGCTGTGACACCGTGCTTGGGATGATTCAAATCCATCAAAAGGACCAATACAGTTGAGATGACACGGGACTTGGTGGCATAGCCGCTTGAAGAGAAAGTGTTTCTACCTTTCGGCTTGTCAAAAGAACGCGTAGAGCAGATTTAGAAACTATAAGCAGTACACAATTTTGAGCGAACCAAGGCTTTTGATTTTAGAGTGCCACATAGTTGGACACACATTTGCCGGCAGCACCGCAAAAGATTTGCGTCCTCTGTGATGGAGCATGCATGTGTTTCTTGAGCCCAAATGATATCAGCTCTTGGTGCGAGCAATTAATGCTATTGTTTTGCACCCACGTCGCAGATCAAAATTCAAGCTATGTGCTGCTGACGGCTACAGCCGGGAAGAATGGCTGCGTGCCACAGTGGCCAACTCCTATATTCGCTTTCCGTCGCGTAGCAGCATCATGTTGTATGTAAGTCCTTCGCCATGCCCTTTCCAGTCGGCTTTGTCGGGCTGGTCAGTTGGCTGGGTTCTTTATCTTTTCTGCCGTCTCAAGTCCAACCTCATCGGCATTCTCCGCCTTCTTCCCTTCCATTGCATCCCGGCAGCTTATGCTTGCAGGGCCCCAATGCCTTTATCTGTTGATGAAGCTGAAATCCATATCCACAATGGCCAAATGATCTACAACTACCTCTGCTGGACTCATGACGTGTGAGTGCGATGAAAGTTTCTAAACTTTCTCTTGAAGTCAGCTCAGCAGTGGCAAATCCAGACACCGCACGGCTATCACCCTAAGACGCAATCCGAAATTCCGAAATTCACCGGCTGCGCCACTGGAGATGTTAACCTTTCGCTCAAGATGCGCCTGCTCCCATGTGCTGGACTTGAGTGGGAGGTGGATGGCGCAATTCATTGCCTAGCCAGGGGCCCCAGAAGTCATTGGGCTGCAGACATTTGGCAAAATATTCCGATGCGAAAGACGGCAACTCTAGCAACGGCTTCAGATGTTCTTAGGGGGGCTCAGATAGGAATTCAAAACGCTGATGGCAAAATTAGGGTTCATGGACTGCGGCGCACACACCGCCACAGGTTTTGCAACAATGTTTTCCAGCACTTCGAATTTCACAAGCCATCGGTTGAAATTTGTTGGTGCGACGACAGAACATGTGCAGGTGAAGCATGAATCCTGAGCCTTTCGGTACCCTATCGCTATCGGCTTGCAGTGTGTTCTTGAGCCGCTCAGCATCGGTGGAAACGGCCTTACTTGATTGCAATGTGACAATGTGTTCTTCAACTGCCCGGTCATCTTCTCAGGGATGGTGCTTGCCCGTGCCGGGCGGGATGACTATACTATAGAGAAGCATTGTTGCCAAGCAAACTTCACCTGGAACAGAGGAAGCGCCTGCTCCCGTTTAATCTTCTAGTAGATGGTCTGATAATTAACGACTAAGTTCCACAATCCAAAACAGCAATTAAAAAAAACATTGATAATCGCTGATTATAGCTGTTACCAGGTGTCATTGTGTTTGCAACTCTTTAAACTTAAGCTGTGGGTGCTACTGTGGTGGTTCATTCCGGTTCAACCTGGATGGACCCATCGCCAGTGGTGGCGACGATGTATAAGGGCTTGTATTTATCCCAGTCGGTTCCCCCCACGGACGATTGGGCTGAATTCTGATGTCCTCAAAAAAGGTTCGGTCATGATTTTTTTTTGCCATGCCTTTTGCTTTCATACTATTGGTTGATGCGAGTTTGGTTCGCAACTAGAGAAAAACAACAAATAGCCAACCCCACGGTCAAACTGTTGTTCCAACATAGTGGCTGTTGTTTCGAAGTTGTGGGAATGCCCCAAGTCATTGTGGGGGTGCAATTTATACATTGATTGTGCGTTCGACACTGTGCTGAGTGGGTTCTTGTATCACCTTGTATCAGACTCAAGAGGCGTTGGTTTCACGTTTGTGCAAAAAATACCTGCTCATTTTTGCAAACAACCATCCATTTCGTGTGTAGTGCCTAAAGTACCTGACCTAACCACTTTCCATTGTTTGAAACCACATGTTAACACCAATTCCCCCATGTTTCTTGCAAACATTTAAATATTGAGCTAACAAACTCATTTGTTGCCCCCCAAAATGATCGAACGTACGGTTCGGGATTCGGAACCGATCACAATTTGCCAGCTTTTTGGTTCAAGGTGAAAACAAATATGATGGACAGCAAGGAACTAACTCAAAACAGATTGAAACCTGGACAACAAAATGTGATCAGGGAGATTTGCACCACAATTTGCGTTTGCAAGCGTTATATTGCGTTGAATTAAATGTGAAATCCAATTTTTTTCGTAGCACATAGCCGGACATAGATCCATTTTCCTGGTTGTTCCAAGGCAACGGTAAACCATTGCCATGGCGGTGCCCATGGTGCCGGGGCAATGATGGCAGGTTTCCCCAAGTATGGTGTAAGGCCAGGCTTTGCGACTTGGCTCAACCCACTGACCATGTGTACCAGTTTTTGCCAGGCTCCAAATTCTTAAAAGAGATCATCCAATCATTCAACGAATACATATGATATATACGTTTCAACAAGGTCCATGCATGGTTTGCAACAGGATCAAATGTTACTAATGATTCATGATTCGGAGGATACATCAGCATTTTGCTTGCAGGGGTTGTGATTCTCCCAGGTTCCTGGAGGATGTGGACATAGTCCCAATGGTCTTGCCCCGAACTTTTGTGCCGGCTGCGGTGGTTGCGGTGCTTGTGGCTGCGGCGGTTGCAATGGCTGCGGCGGTTGCAGTGGCTGCAGCGGTTGCGGCAGTTGCGGCGGTTGCGGTGCTTGTGGCTGCAGTGGCTGTGGTGCTTGCGGTGGATGTGGCTGTTGCGGTGGCTGCACGTGTGGTTCTATTGGCGGCTATGGATTGCCGCAGAGCCAAAGCTGCGGTAGCTGTTGTGGCTGCAATGGAAATGTGACGAACTCAGAGTTCTAGCTACTGCTAAATGCTTATGTCCAGTCCATTTTCATGATTTGGAATGCACAAAAATCCTAGGTCCTAGATCAGCGATCAGTGCAAATCCATTCCACCGCCGCACTGATACAAGATAGGCAAAAATGACGGCATAGCGCAAAATTTCAGATTTGCTTTCTTGTAGTAGATTTTCAGCGTCAAATTCCATGAATTCACGGCCAGCGGAACTCAGGCGCAGATGCCACCACTGCCACCAGCCTTTGGCAATTTCGGCCATATGCCTTGTGTTGGGATAGTGCCGCCAGCGCCGCCGCCGCCAGCGCTGCCGCCCCCAGCGCCGAAATCACTTGCACCAGTTGCACCACCTGCGCCAGCTGCGGGTTGTTGTGGATCTGCGGTCTTTATGCAACAGTTTCTTGTTCTGAGGGTTAGAGTGAAAGTAGAAGGTTGGGCAAACGGATTTCGAGAACTAAAGGACTTTTCCTAGACCGACATGTGACATTATTACTGCGGTATCCTCAGGGGTGGGTATACTATAGGTACTCTATCATGTGTTAACGAACGGTAAATTTAATTTCAAGATTACACGAGGTTTAGGGGCGAACCGAAGGCTTGAGAGGAGGGAATTCCATCCGTGCCATTTGTCACTTCAGAAAGGATTGTGTTATCACCTCGCCAGTTGTCAGCCTGACCCGCACCAAGGATGGAAATGCTACAAAAGCTGCTGGTCAGAAAATCAATGGACACAACTTTTGTTTTGGAAGATGTCAAAACTTGTTGCGTTTTGGCGCTTTAGAGTTGGCATCCTGTCCATGTGGCAGAAAAGTGTTTGGCTTGCCCCAGCTGTGGCACCTGAATCCGTACACAATGTATCCATCTGACATGGGACATTTCTCATCGGATGGTTAGGATTTCAGTTGAATTAGTTCAATTCTTTCGGATCCTGTCGTCTCAGGATGCTGCAGGAAACTCAGGAGAAGAGCTTCAACGTGAGCTCCCCGGAGAGGGCTGGCCGCCGGGCTGGGCCTGAGAAATCGACAAATCTATAAATCGATACCTGAGAATCTGATGCCTCTAGTACTTGTTATAATTATCTTTATTTGTATTGTCTTTACCAATACATATACACATGTACTGTACAATCATGTGCATGTAAGTATGTATTTATATATATATATATATTGTGTGGAGTGCGTTGGCTTCTTTATTTGCCATTTCTGTAAAATCCAGAAACTATTTCTTGCACAGGTAAAAGCCATTTGCTAAAATCTAGAAACTATTTGCTAAATACTAGAAACTATTTGCTAAATACTAGAAACTATTTGCTAAATACTAGAAACTATGTGCTAAATACTGGAAACCATTTGCTAAATACTAGAAACTATTTGCCAAATTCTGGAAACCATGTGCTAAATAGTAGACACCATTTGCTAAGTACTAGAAACAATTTGCTAAATAAGTAAGATATGTAGAAACCTTTTTTTTCACGTAAAGTAGAAAATGTAGAAACCATTTGCTAAATCATGTTGATTTTCCAGGAACCATTATGAACTTGAATCATAGGGGTAATATTTGAAGGTAAAAGTTGTTATTGACGATATTGACAGGGCAAACCTGGTCAATCTTGGAACCCGCATTTGCCAATGGTAGTTTGTGGTGAGAAAGAACTAATGTCTTTACCCCACATGCCAGTTTAATAGTACAAGAGCCTCCTTCACACATGGTTCACCACATTGAAACCGTTGACGCTTGAAACTTGAAACCATCTAGAATCCAATTGGGATTATTATCGCGCCATACACGTTGTAATGCTGTTTCAATCCAGGAAAAGGGGTATCAAACAGCAACATAAAGACATACCTGTCCCAATGCAGTTTTTTGCCAAATGCACCATACAACGCTGTGAATACTTCCACACGCGATACCCACAAGTTGCGGGATCCAAAAAAATATGTTCCCGAAACAAAACCATGTGGCTGAGAGCCTTTGCGGGTGAGTTGGGGGATGTTGTTAGCAGGCCTGTGCCACATGGCATTTTTGACACCTCAGAGGACACCCAAGTCGGGGATTTCCCCCAACTGGTGTGTGCCTGAACTTTTCTCTATTAGTCCAGGTCTGTCGGGGGAGCCTGGGGAGTCCGGTTTCTTCGGGAGCCTACCAGCTTAACCCTCCTAAGATGTAAATATGAAAGGAAATTATTTCTTAAATCCCAGAAACTATTTCTTCAATCCTAGAAACTATGTCTTAAATCCTAGAAACTATTTCTTAAATCCTGGAAACTATTCCTTAAATCCCAGAAACTGTTTCTTAAACCCTAGAAACTATTTCTTGAATCCTGGAAACTATTTCTTAATTGCTGGAAACTATTTCTTAAATCCTGGAAACTATTTCTTAAATCCCAGAAACTATTTTTTACTCGGGGTCCTAAACCCAGAAACCATTTACAAAACCAGGATTGCTTTTACCAATCCCAACCGTTGGACAAGGATAGCAGTCAATCACTTGAAGTCCAGAGATTGCCCCAGACAAGTGAGCCATGTTCTCACCAAGAGAGAGAGGCTGCCAGGCTGTTGGCGCAGGCATTCTTCATTCTCTTTCGTTCTATGTTCTTTGAATTTTCATCTCAGAATCAGTCACTGTTTCTCTCTTACTTTCCAATCTGTAAAGAGTTTCGAAACATCATAATGTATGTCTACTGTATATTTGTCAACTTAGGTTATAGTCATCTTTATTAGTATATTGTCTTGTTTGATGGTTTAAGGCGAAGTAACGGTATCACAGAAACCGTTTCAAACCGTTTCCCGCTACTTGCTAGGTAATAGTCCGAAACCGTTTCAAACCGTTTCAAACCAATCCCTAGAAGGCCTAACTTGCATGACTTCTTTAGTTTTTTAGTAATGTACAATTTTTTGGATATTTTTCAAAAGTTTCCTAAAAGTGGATTTATTTAGGAAATAGTTTCTGTAAATTGGGTTTATTTGAGAAATAGTTTCTGCAAATTGGGTTTATTTAAGAAATAGTTTCTGTAAATTGGGTTTATTTAGGAAATAGTTTCAAATAGTTTCCCAGCTTAGGGTTGATTTAGGAAATAGTTTCTGTAAATGGGGTATATTTAAGAAATAGTTTCTGGCCTCCACAGACAAAGAGGCCAAGGCACTCCCCAACTATATATATATATATAAAGATATACGATCTAATATAGAATATAAGATAAAACGTGTAATTTTAATTAAAAATATTTAAAATAGAAGATTTCTTTTAATAATATAAAATTTAAATTATATAATATGTGATATATAATACATAATATATAATATATAATGAATACTATTTAAAATTTAATATATAATGAATTTATGATATATGAAATTTAATTTACAATATACAATATATAAAATATAATAAATATAACGTAATACATAATATATAATATATAATTTTTAAAATATTTTCAAAATATAATATATAATATCTATTTTTTTTAAAAAATACAATATATAATATATAATAAAAATAAATAATAAATAATATATAGTATATGATATATAGTATATCACATATTATATTTTATATATCATATATATTATATCATATACAAAAGATAATAGCTAATAGATAATATATAATATATTTAGTATATGATATTAAATACATAATATATAATATATAATATATAATATTTAATATATAATATGTAATATATGATATATAATATATAATTATATATTTCATATTTTATATTTAATATATAATATTTAGTATATAATATTTAGTATATAATATTTAATATATAATATATAATATTTAATATATAATATATAATTTATAATATATAATATATAATTATATATTTCATATTTTATATTTAATATATAATATTTAGTATATAATATTTAATATATAATATTTAATATATAATATATAATATTTAATATTTAATATATAATATATAATATAATATATAATATTTAATATTTAATATTTAATATAGAGGGTATGATAAAAAATATAGCATATACAATATATGATATGATACATTATATATGATATATATACATATATAAATATATGATATATACATATATAAATATATGATATATATACATATATATATATAGATACCGCAACACACATATGCATGTCTAGTTATTTCTATGTGAATATCCAGGATTGAAATCCGGGGCCCCGTCCTGGGAAGGAGCCTTTGGATGTCATGCAACAGCACCTTGGCAGCATCGTTCAGTACACGAGGCAGACCTGATCCGCAAACCATTTTGGTTTCATAGTTTCACAACAAACGAATCTCTCAATCACTGCTATGACTGCAGTCCGGCACTAACCAAACTAACCAAACTACAGTTCTTTTTGGGTTCTCGTTGAACTTGGGGAAAATACGCTGGCAACATGGCAAGCATATGGCCTGGTAAGTTACCGGTAAGGCTGGTAAGTAGTCAACAAAGCGTTCCGAGGTTGGCACAACAAGCACAGTTGCAACTTCAGCAGGAGCAGGTGAGACACCCGTGAGACACCCAACTGCCACGAGTGAGTTCTTCTCTCCCAATTGAAACTTCGAAAGGATAAAAGGCATGGAAATGTCACAGCGCACAGTATGTCACAGTATCATGTTCAGAACTCAAACTCTAACTTGAAGGTGAGTTCGTGTGAATTCAGAAGACATCCATAATGTTACACCGACAGCATTTGAATTTATCTGGTGATTGTATTTGTTTAGCCTTGCAGTGGACACCCCGTAAAGTTCTTGTGATCACAGGTTCCTTCGCAAAGAAAGGAGGAACCTTTGCCAACGCCCATGGTGAAGGTGCAGATTTGCTATGATATGACCCTCAAAAGGAATCTGTTTTTAGATGCCACAGTAGAAGGAAGACATATGTGAAACTGGTGCTTGCCGTCCGTTCTCGCATGGCGAGAGGCCACTTTGCATTGACAGAGTCAGAACATCTGGTAGGTTATCATAGATTATCACATTGACTTTGCCAGTTGAATCATGAGATTTCAACGATGTTTCAAATTGTTTCAATATAACTAGCGTTTGACAGTGCATTGTACTTTCTGGATGTAGAAAACCAGATCAACAAGGACCTCCACAATTTCCACAATCCACCGGCGTAGGCTACCATGGGCGTAGGCTGTGTAGGCCTTGGCGTAGGCTGGTCTCATCCCACACGGCGTAGGCTATGCATAGACACTTGTTCACAACAGCAAGAATTAATTCACTTAGCAAAGCATCGTGCCACCAAAGAAACATAAAGAAACAAGATAACTCATGGCCGCGTAGGCAAAGCATACAGCGCGTAGGGTCGCGTAGGCACTCATCAAAAAACTTTCCCCGTGCGGGCTACCTCATGCAATGGCGTAGGCTGGACGACGCGACGTTTGCGTAGGTCGTAGGTTATTTGCTACTAAGTCAGCATGTTACGGCGCTACTCATTTGGGCCTTTTTGAACTCTGACTCCAGGCCCAAGCACCTGATCCACCCAACCTTGAGCCTCAACCTCCGCAGGGCACCTAGGAAAGACTGGAACTGGACTGGAACCTCGCACAGTTCTCTGCCAAGAGTCATCCATTTGATGGTCCATATTAGATTGGAAGCAAAGACAGTTTTGGGGTTCCTGATTTCCAGAATCACATCTGCCACATCTTTCCAGTTCTCGGTGGGATTTCCATGGATGAAACGGGGTTTGGAAGTTTTGACGAGTATATATATATATATGCTGTATGTATGTATAAATCAATTCTTAGCCATTCTCCATGAGGCCAGGTTGATTAGGATGAGTTTTTGTCTTGGTCTAAATGCGCTTCTGTGTACCCACTATGTCACTCACACTTGAACTTCATGGATATCTAGTATCGGTATCAAGAACTGAAGAGGGTTTGTAAAGAAAGTAAGGAGTGCTTATTGCTACTCTGGAGGGATGTAGGCAAATCAGGTGAAACCCAGGCTACAGTATCTGCCAAGCTCAAGCATGCTAGTGGATGGTAGTGTTGATCGCAGTGTCAAATTGTGCTTTGAATTTGTGAATAAGACGTCTATACAGATAGATCATGATAGATCGACAGATGGAGAATAGATAAATAGGCATAGGTAATGGCAGGTATACTGTACATGCATATCTACATACATTATATCTATATCTACATCTCCATCTATATCTATACTAAACCTATCATGTCTCTATCTCTACCTGTATCTGTCTTTGTATCTGTAGGATATATGCATACCTATATATACTCTCGCTCTCTGAATAATACCCCTCTCCATATACATATACTGTACAATGTGTCCAAGAAAAATCTAAGAGACCTGTAGAGGGCACCACATCCTGGGACTTCGAAAAAAATTGACTGTGCGAAAATCATAGGAATGATTTTGCCATCATTTTTCAGTAAATATTCTTGTTTCTTTTTCAAAGGTGCAATTCGCATGTTGTTTCTTTGGCATCTTTCCTCTACGGCATTTTTCTTATTTCCTTGACTTCAATTGGGTGACTGCGTGGAAAGGGCAAGCACAAAATATACAATGTATACACACTATCATATCTTCAGTAGATCTATACACATAGCAAGAGCCCGCAACATTTCTAAGCATGTTACAAGTAATCGAAGAAAGTTTATATAGAAGTCAAACTTCCGACGATATGGACAGATGGAAAAGCAGAGGTGGGAAGAGTCAGAGAAGAAAAAAGGAGGAAAAAGAAGATCAGAGAAGAGAAAGACAGAAGAAAGAAGATCCAGGTGTGCGAAAAGGTAGAAAAGTCGCAAAAACACTGTGTTTTTCCAATGTTTTGTGGCTCCGGAGGGTCAAAAACTAGGCTCGCTAAAGCGGCGGGTGCAGAGCCACATTTGGAAGTCAAAATGCTAAAAGCACCACACATTCGACTTTTGGAACTTGAGATGTCGAAAAAGTGCACGTCGTTATCCCGCAAAGCACATTTCGAAGCCAAAATAGTAACCACTTTTGGCGGTTGAGACGTCGAAGAAGTGCACGCCATTGTGGTGCGAAGCACATCTCGAAGACAAACTGGGACAAGCACCATATTGGGATGTTCGGTCCACTTTTGGAAGTTGAGATGTCGGAATAGCGCACGCAGTTGTGGTCCAAAGCACATTTCGAAGTCAAAACGCTAAAAGCACACGATTCTCGGAGTGTTTGGAAGTTAAGATGTCGAAAAAGTGCGCGCCGTTGAAGCGTGAAGCACATTTCCCAGTCAAAATGTTCCAAACACCACGAGTTTGGACCATTTTTGGAAGTGGAGATGTCGAAAAAGTGCAGGCCGTTGTGGCACGAAGCCGTTTTCGAAGTCAAAATGGGAAAAGCACTGCATGTTCGGTCCACTTTTCGAAATTGAGATGTGGAAAAAACTTCGCGTCATTATGGCGCGAAGCGCATGTCGAAGTCTTTTTTTTACCATTCTCGGAGCACTTGTGGATGGTCAACGACACCACCCTACACTACAACTACAACTACAACTACAACTGAAGCTACAGCTACAGCTATAACTACAAGTGCAATTACAACTGAAACTACAACTACAACAACTACAGCTACAACTACAGCGACAACTACCACTACCATTACCACCACTACCACTACCACTACACTACACCACACCACATCGCACCACCACTACACTACAACTACCACTACAACTGCAACACCAGCAACTACAGCTACAACTGCAACTACAACAGCCACAGCTGCAGCTATCACTACAGTACAGCTACAACTACGACTACCATTGCGACTGCGACTGCGACCGCAACCACGACTGCCGCTACACTACACTACGCCGCGCTACACTACACTATTTACACTACAATTACAACGGCAGCTGCAACTACAACAGTAGCAGCTACAGCTACAGCTACAGCTACAACCACAACGACAACAACAACAACAGCGACAACGACAACGACAACGACAACGACAAAAACAACAAGAACTGCAACTGCAACTGCAACTGCCGCTACAGCTACAGCTACAACTACATCTGCCACTACATTACACTACACCACACCACACTACACGACACGACACTAGACTACACTACACTACACTACGCTACACTACACCGCACCGCACCGCACCACACTACTTCCAGCAGTTGTTGGTGAGGTGACCACTGCAATCATTCCAAAAACCAAAACTCCAACCACCTTTCGGCCCATCAGTGGATTCGCTTTGCCACCCATGCATCACAACACCTCACCTCTCCTATAGTTTCCTATGTTTGAAACTTCCGCCACCGCCTAGTGCGGTACTACTGGAAGCACGTGATACGTAAATCGACCAGGCATTGAATCCAGTTTGACCACCTAGGGGAGGTTACAACCCCATTTGCAACTTGTGAATCTCCTCGTGATCTACACACAATTCCATTGATATATGATATGAGGTTCATGCCCCGTTTGGAGGGAGTCTTGTGAGGGGCTGTGTGAGCATCATTAATGCCCATGGGTGCTGTCATCATTCTATAACCTTCTGAACTTTGGCCACGTGCATGATGAAACCGCATTTGGTTTTTTCCATTGGTTCATAATCTCTACAAAAGATCTGTTGTTATGACAAACTGCAAGCCTACATGCAAGATGTGAAGTCAAAATGATTTCTAAATATGGGTTCTTTCATGCAGAAACACCTTTTATTTGGCTATGTATTGGTTCCAATCAACAATTTGATTGCTAGATCACGTTTTCGTAATTGATTTGCTGGAGGCCAATCCATGGCCAACGGCAATATACTGAGAATGGGTAGTGGGGGTAGTGGCCCAAAATTGTACACAATTTGGGGCCTTTGCGCCTTTGCGCCTCCCGAAGATCCCAGCAGTGAAACCTTCCGAGGCCACCAGTGGAAGCACCACCGCCTGTGAGCTTGGTCACCTAGATGGTTCGAGACATTCGGAAACACCCAACTACGCTTGGACTGCGAACTAGCAGATGGGTACTAGATGGTTACCAGATGGCTGGATTTTGGCAAAATTTCTGAGTTTTTTTTGTTACGAACCCAGCTTCGTGCCTAGCTTCGTGCCGCATGAGTTCAAACGTTCTCTAGGTCAAGCTCGAAGTCGCAGCCGCGATGGTCCGGCAGGTGCAGCACAAGTCAGGTCGAAAGGATCCTTTCAAAGATTCTTCACGGTCTGCGGTAAACAGAAAAAACCAAACACTATTTATGAATGGTCTGACTATCAAATTGATGGTTCCTGATTTCCCAGAACTTGGCAGAACTTGATCGCAATCACCACCTTTTGGATCGACTCGGGCAGAGGTCGAAAAAAGAGCAGCAGCAGCAGCAGCAGTCCCAGCCGAAAGCGGAGCCCCAGCCGAAGGCGGAGAAGTCGCAGGACTGGTGAATTGTGAAGGGCTGGGGCAACTGCGCGGGTTTGGGAGCAGATTGGACCTGTGACACGGAAAAGTCGTTGATCTTCTACGCAGTGGTGGCCACTCGATGTATCTCATTGTATCTCCTTTTTCTGATCCGAAACCTGGAGTCCAAGGAATTGTGTTAGTAAGTCCTGGTTTTCGTGAGAGATTCTGCTGATGACATGTGAGAACTGGGTTAGGACAATGATTTCCAACCAATTATCACCAAAAGCACAGGGCATAGTTGTCAGATTTGAGGAGAAGTCGCAGCCGGCGCGATAGTGGGGGAACCTGGGGTGATGACCCTCTTGGCCCACTCGAAGTGATGGCTCCTGGAATGCTATGCCATGATATACCATGGCTATACCCAAATAATTTGTGCATCTTGCACCTTCGAAGGCTTTTGAAGTTGGCAAAATCGCCAAAGATTGACCACATTGGCAACCCAGTTGGCAAGACATGGATCGCACTTCGCCTGGGTTGGATCGCCTCAGGTCGCCGTCGCAGCCCGTCCCGGCGGCGAGACAGCCGCGCGCGACGGAGCCGCTCTGGGCGGAGGTTCTCCCAGCGCAGTCGGTCGAGAAGGCGGCTGAAAATTTGGGATGGGTAAACTTTGGTAAACTCAACAAACAGATTGTGAACTGGGCATGTTGCTAGTCATAATAGGATATGACATGTTCTCATTTTTGACATTGCTGGGTCATCCAAGTGAAACTAGTAAATGGTCGGGAACTGAGGGATATCCCTTGATACATGCTGGTTTGAGAGGGTTTTCTCGACTGTTCATTTTTTTAAGCTCCGAAACAGAGACAGGATCATCCCAGCCTGGGATCCCGAATCCACATGCCCGTGCGCTGTAGACTGGAATTCGATCCGCTCACATCTATGTTCCGTGAATGATAGATTCAGAATCTGGTGATGGAACAGTTTTGACTATACCATACTATGCCACAGAAATATCTAATCTCTCTGGAGGATTCACCATGTTTCACCATGTTTCATCCTCATGTGGCAGAGTTTGGCAGGAGCCGCTCCAATCGATATCGCAGACCAGAGCGGCCAAGATCACCACCACGCCGAGGCACCGGCATGGCCATTCGGAAACCATGAGGAAACCAAACATTTGTCAGCACGAGAACCTGCCAGAGTTCTTTCATGTTCTTTCCAAAGTCTCCCTTAGCAGCGACAGGACGCAAAATCAGGAAGTCAACGGAAACAAGTTTATTAGAATGCACAAATAGATACAAATAGTAGAATGCACAAATTGAAGTTGATGCATGCTGTGGATGTGCTAAATGCTGCGGTGACGTTTGCCGGGGCAAACCTGACCCCAGCTCTACCATGACTCCGTGTGTCGCATCCGTGGCAAATTGATATGGCATTTGTGGTTCACTGAGCGGTTGCAAACATTCGCATGTGGTTCTGCCTGAAATCTTTGCCATGATCTAGAGAACACACGTGTCCTCACTGCAGGTTGTTTCCCAGCGGATGTGGTGTCATGTTGCCAGGAGACCGAGCTCCTCGCTTTAACGACATGACCACAGCTCGACGCGAGGAGTGTGGCGACTTCAAAAGAGGTCCACGTTGGGAGTGCAGGGCAGGTGGCCCGCAAACGTGGCTCTCTGAGAGCCACGGATCCTGAAATACGAAGATTGAAAGACAAAATGACCATTGACATCCATAGACTCGACCATAGCCATCCATGGCCATAGTGAGAGAAAGCAGCTGAATACCTCGAATGGCTTCCCGTGCCAACCACAGCAGTCGACTTGTTTCTCACATGCTTGGTGCTGGGATACGGGAATCTGTGGCTGTTGTATCCCTGGATGTCCCCAAGGGAAAAAGTCAATCTCTCAAAGAAATGGTTTAGGGCATCGCATCCGGCCACAGAACTGGGGGTTCATTGCAGTTCACAGGATTTCTGGATCGATATACAGTATATATATATATATATTAGGGGTTGCCTCTAACACTAACTTGGGTACTCTCTTTATAGGCTGTACCCCAGGTAGTGCACATGTACCTTGTACATTTAAAATACCCCTTAGGTATTGCTCAAAACACCCCTTAGATGTCGCTAAAAACACCCCTTAGTATGTCCCATGTTGTCAGGAACAAGTTGTTTTTAACTCAAAGAGTTTCCGCTTAGGGTCTCAAACAAAGCTGTTTTCATTCAGTGTTTTTGATCTAAATCAATGTGGGTTTTAAGCAAAAAATACCCCTTAGCTAAGGGGTGTTTTTTTGGCAATTTTGGGACCCCAAAGTACACCAAAACCGATTCCTGAAGACATCAGAATTGACAATGTATGTCACAATCCAAGATAGGAATCAAAGATGTTTGACACATGATGATGTCAACAAACGAGAAAAGACTCAAGTCTTGATCAAAGAAGGATTGTTTGTACCTCAAGAATGAGCGATGTTTCTAACCACTTAAGGGGTGTTTTTACCTCAAAAAACACCACTTCACTAAGGGGTGTTTTTGACCACTTAAGGGGTGTTTTTACCTCAAAAACACCCCTTAGCTAAGGGGTGTTTTTACGACCGCTAAGGGGTTAGTATACCACGACTAAGGGGTCACTATATACCTCGCTAAGGGGTGTTTTTAGGTATAAAGAGTTAGTGTTACAGGAACCCCCTAATATATATATATTATTATTATATTATATTATATTATAAATTATATTATATTATATTATATTATATCATATTATATTATATTTTATTATACAATATACTGTATACATATATATTTTTGTATATATATATACACATATACATATAAACAAAAAATGAAATACCCATAGTAAGACCTCGGGTACAACTACTTTAAAGTCCATACCATCCACAAGAAGCATCTATTGTGGGGCCCAAACTCCCTCAGTACCATCGTGAATTAAATGGTTGTTATGCAAAAAAGAAAAATGGTCACCGCTTTTGCCGTAAAAAAATATACTGACACACATTCTAAACGAAATCAACAGTTTTGGGGAAACTCTGCCTTTAAATTCTCTGCTGAGCCAGGCAAGTGCACCCGCGGGGATCGCTGCCGTTTCGCTCATGTGGACGGTGGAGGCGGCAAAGGTAGCGGCGGTAGCGGTGGCGCCGCTGCCCGGCCAGAGCTGCGCGGTGCCGAGAACGGCGAACGGCCGGGAGGCTGCGGAGCATTGCTTCGCCCAATTTCCCAGTTTCCCACTTTGGCATGGTTCAAATTGGTTCAAAGTTTGGTTCAAAGTTTGGTTCAAAGTTTGGGAAGTTCTTGGAAAGTTGATATAAGTTGAGTTGAGAGACTTGATATACAAACTCAAACTGTTAAAGTCACCTGGCAAACCACTAAGTCGTGGCAAAGTGAGGTTTGATCAGCTCTGTGAAGAGAATTGATCCAAGCTCTTGTTGAGGTCTCTGGGAGCCACACTTAGAGTAACGGCATGCCTTGACCAATTTTCGACCTCTCCGATCCTTCTGATCCTTGACCTTGCTCAGATTGGAAGTGTCCCAATTGCGCTGTCATGGTCTTCGCCTCCAAGAATGAGTGCTTCAAGTGCCACACCAGAAAAGATGGGACCAAGGTGGGTGCCGTTGCACCGTTGCACCGTTGCACCGTTGCACCGTTGCACCGTTGCACCGTTGCACCGTTGCACCGTTGCGCTGCTTATTTGGTTTCTGACTCCGGGGCTGGGGAATTATGTGAACCAAAGCTGGAGATGGCGGAAATCATGGCAAGACCGGCAGCTTTGCTCAGGGCACTGGCATGGAAGGAAGTGGACCGCCGCCTGAGAAGTATTCAGAGGCTGGAAGGGGTTCAAGAGTCACGATGACGTGGAAATACAAAGTGCTGGCATTGAATCGAAGTATCCGAAATTGGACAGCCCACATCCATGTGTTGATGTTTGACATGAGAAAGCCATGGTGACTGGATACTATGCTGTAGACCTAGAATCTTGTGTTTCTAGCCCCAGCCCGCAAAATCACTGGACACATCGCTCCACAGCCACAATGGTCGACCCAGCCCAAACTGGGGATTTGTTCGATGGGTTCACAGACTTGCAACGGATATGAATCCTTATGATATCGCACGTATGGTTCTGCCAGTTGGACAGGGGGTTTCTATGGATTTCTCTGAACTCCAGACTTCGGAATATGATCCATTGCCGTCACTTGCTCCTTAATTAGACTTGTACTCCTTTCCCTGTCTGTCTTTGCAGACAGAGCTTGTGAGTCTTCGTTTGACTTTCCTCATTCGTTTTTTGCCCCAGGCTTTATGGGAGAAACCGCGCCAGCAAATCGGCCTTAAACTGGTGGGTGAGCTCAGTAACTCAGCCCGGAGACTCAGGTCGACCAGAGAATCCAAGAGAATCCAAGTCTGAGTGTCCACAATAGTCCACGATAGTCCAGGAGTGCTAGTAGGAGTATCTTCAGGGGTTTGCGTCAAAAGCTTCCAAGAAAGACACGGTGTTCGTATTGGTGGAAGCCATCTCCAACCCAGTTTCAGTCGTGTTGCGGTGCCGCGACGGAATTCTTCGCCAAGTGGAGAGAGGAAACTCACAGGTCAACGAAACTGTCAGACCTTGCACACTGCAGATGCAGACGTTTTTAAAACAATGCGATGTGCAATTTCTTTTTGTATCTTTGAAAGGCTGCTTACCTCGGTTCCTGGTTCCTCTTGGTCCACCTGTCACCATGTGGCGACATCGTGACGTCGTGCTGTCGTGTCGTGAGGCCTGGCAGTACGTCTTGTCAGACGAGAGCCGACGATGCTTCGCTGCCTACTTGTCGTGTCCGTTTTCTCAGGAGCAGACCAAGCGCAGCCCTCAGAGCTCGGAGCTGCCAAACCAGACACATCCAGCTGTGCCAAAATACCAAAATACCAACCTGCCATATACATTGTCATTGATTCATTGATTTGATTAATTATCATACGGAATTACAATGTATATGACTATATACACAGAATATATATATATATACATATATGTGTATTATATATATAATATACTCGTGTATATCTATCTATCTATCTATCCATCTATCCATCGATCTATCTATCTATCTATCTACCTATCTATCTATCTATCTATCTATCTATCTATAATACACATACTCACCCTGTATCTGGATTTATTTGGTCCACATTTTTGGTAGCTTTGAGGCACCAGGGTGAAACATCCGTCCTACGCCAGTGTAAAGTAGGGACGTTTAGAGCTGAGTACGGATCATTCAGCTGGCTTTATCAGGTTTTCGAGTGAAGATTGTCTCATGCTGCATGGTGTCAATTCCCCACATTGACGTGTGGGGTTTTTGTTTTTAGTTCTGTATCCGCTCCTCCTCCTCCTCGTCCTCCTTCCTTCCTTCCCGTCCTCCCTCCCTCCCTCCATCACTCACTCTCACTCACTCACACTCACTCACTCACACACACACACACGCACTCACTCACTCACTCACTCACTCACTCACTCACACACACGCACTCACTCTCACTCACTCACTCACTCACTCACTCACTCACTCACTCACTCACACACACACGCACTCACTCTCACTCACTCACTCACTCACTCACTCACTCACTCACTCACTCACACACACGCACTCACTCTCACTCACACTCTCACTCACTCACTCACTCACTCACTCACTCACTCACTCACTCACTCACTCACTCACTCACACACACACACACTCACTCACTCTCACTCACTCACACTCACTCACTCACTCACTCACTCACACACGCCGCTTTTGCGTGGCAGGCGTGGGACAATGTGCACTGCCCAGGGGTCGGATGTACGCCCTGGCGTCCCTTGGTCTCCGCCTCGTTTGCGTGGCAGGCGTGGGACAATGTGCACCGCCAAGGGGTCGGATGTACGCCCTGGCGTCCCTTGGTCTCCGCCTCTTTTGCGTGGCAGGCGTGGGACAATGTGCATTGCCAAGGGGTCCGATGTACGCCCTGGCGTCCCTTGGTCTCCGCGTCTTTTGCGTGGCAGGCGTGGGACAATGTGCACCGCCAAGGGGTCGGATGTACGCCCTGGCGTCCCTTGGTCTCCGCGTCTTTTGCGTGGCAGGCATGGGACAATGTGCATTGCCAAGGGCTCGGATGTACGCCCTGGCGTCCCTTGGTCTCCGCGTCTTTTGCGTGGCAGGCGTGGGACAATGTGCACCGCCAAGGGGGCGGATGTACGCCCCGGAGTCCCTTGGTCTCCGCCTCTTTTGCGTGGCAGGCGTGGGACAATGTGCATTGCCAAGGGGTCGGATGTACGCCCTGGCGTCCCTTGGTCTCCGCGTCTTTTGCGTGGCAGGCGTGGGACAATGTGCACCGCCAAGGGGTCGGATGTACGCCCCGGAGTCCCTTGGTCTCCGCGTCTTTTGCGTGGCAGGCGTGGGACAATGTGCACCGCCAAGGGGTCGGATGTACGCCCTGGCGTCCCTTGGTCTCCGCCTCTTTTGCGTGGCAGCACTCACTCACTCACTCACTCACTCACTCACTCACTCACTCACTCACTCACTCACTCACTCACTCACTCACTCACTCACTCACTCACTCACTCACTCACACACACACTCACTCACTCTCACTCACTCACTCACTCACTCACTCACTCACTCACTCACTCACTCACTCACTCACTCACGCACTCACACACGCACACACGCACACACGCACACACGCACACACGCACACACGCACACACGCACACACGCACACACGCACACACGCACACACTCACTCACTCACTCACTCCCTCCCTCCCTCCCTCACTCACTCACTCACTCACTCACTCACTCGCTCCCTCGCTCCCTCGCTCCCTCGCTCCCTCGCTCCCTCGCTCACCCACTCACTCACTTCACTTCACTTCACTTCACTTCACTTCACTTCACTTCACTTCACTTCACTTCACTTCACTTCACTCACTTCACTCACTCTCACATCCCTCACTCACACACACCACACACACCACACTCACATCACTCACTCACACTCTCACTCACTCACTGTACATGAACATACATACATACATACACACAAACTCACCCACCATCACCGCTCCATCACTCTTATACTTCCTCTTCCCTTCTTGCTCTTCTATGGTCAGTCTAAGTCTAAAGAAGTTGGTAACATGTGGGGTTATCCGGTCCTTTAATTTCCAGATTTTTTTGTGTACCCGTCTCAAGAACTCTCAAAATGGAAGGCCAGTTCATAGAATGAGAGAGGGTTACACTTTCCGACTTAACAGGAATGCCGACCACGGTGGAATGCCCGCTTTGAACACATGTGGCTTTAGGAGTGAATGGAATAATTTCAGAAGAACATATTTACATAGCACTTGGTCTCTTGGCACCAACAGGTTTGCACCCAATAATTAAACACCATTCATAAACGACAGCGCCGTGCTCCCAGCATTCCCACAGATGTGCTACGCCGAAGGCAGTATTTCAATGTCATCAAGGATGGGACTGACTGGAAACAGCCCGAGGCAGGCCAGGGCATGGTGCTACCTCATCCCCCAGGTGATTTAAAATCGTTCACCTTGGTGAAAATCGTTCAACTATTTTGCTGCTTACCGACTTGACCTGGAAACACAAAGAGGAAATGGTATGAAACAAAGAGTTAATGTTCAGGCTTGCAATTGTAGCTGCAGTCATGGATAGCCACTGTGTAGGACAGCTCAATGAAACTGCCCTTGCGACCCTTGCGACTTATCAAAGTTGCTCAGCTTTGCGCAGGGCCCCAATGGTCCCATTCCACGGAAGACGGCCTGGATGGTTGCTTCGAATGGATGTCAGTGTACTTATCGATATGGCAGGAGCCGGGTTTTCACTGACCGATCTGAGATAATGAATGATAATGAAAAGGGCTAAACATATAAAGCAGATTCAAGCAGCCTTGATACGGATAACTTCCACCATCAACGTACAACTCGTTGGCTAAATGCTCTTGATTTCCCCACCTGAGAGGATGATCCCATGTGAAAGCCTGCAAAAGTTCTCCAACAACTCGTCCGTATGCAAATGATGTCCAGACGTACACCAAACAGCAGGGTTGCAGCAACATGCCAACAAGGAAAATATGGTGAAAGCCATCAACATGTCTTTGTTGCTCATGCCCTCAGCCATTTTCAGCGGCATTCGCCATGCTGTCCTTTGCCCTGTGCCGGGCATGCGACGCAAGGCATCCTGCCCCGGTGTCACCTGGCACTGGCGCCCAGCGCCGGGCGTCTGAGGATTTTCGGCACAGCTCCGCTCCATGGATTCTGGGAGTTTCCGCAGTTTCTGGACTGGCCCAAACGAGGCACCAAAAGTGTTTCCCAGTTTTGCCGATCATCGAGATGAATAGCAGCTGAATAGCATTCCAGATTATTCCCGAGAGCGTCTGAGCGCAGGGTTCTTCCAATAGTGGGGGTCTGTAAAACATCTTCTCATCTTCACATCTCATCTTCACATTCTCTCATCTTCACATCTTCTCATCATCTTCACATCTTCTCATCTTCACATCTGCTCATCTTCACATCTGCTCATCTTCACATCTTCTCATCTTCACATCTGTTCATCTTCACATCTGCTCATCTTCACATCTGCTCATCTTCACATCTTCTTATCTTCACACCTCTGCTCATCTTCACATCTTCTTATCTTCACATCTTCTCATCTTCACATCTGCTCATCTTCACATCTGCTCATCTTCACATCTGCTCATCTTCACATCTTCTCTCACATCTGCTCATCTTCACATCTTCTCTCACATCTTCTCTCACATCTGCTCATCTTCACATCTTCTCTCACATCTTCTCTCACATCTGCAAATCTTCACATCTTCTCTCACATCTTCTCTCACATCTGCTCATCTTCACATCTTCTCTCACATCTTCTCTCACATCTGCTCTTCTTCACATCTGCTCATCTTCACATCTTCTCTCCTTTCTCTCTCCCTTTTCTCTCTCTCGCCTTCTTTATCTTTCTCTCTTAAGGCCGAGGGTGGTGCCGGCGGCGAGTCACGAAACGTCAACCCTTTCGCACGAAATGAGGGTCGATCGTCAAAAACTGAAGAAAAATTGCGATTTTACTTGTCCCCGAGCAACCCTTTCGCACGAAATGAGGGTCGATCGTCAAAAACTGAGGAAAAATTGCGATTTTACTTGTCCCCGAGCAACCCTTTCGCACGAAATGAGGGTCGATCGTCAAAAACTGAGGAAAAATTGCGATTTTACTTGCCCCGGAGCAACCCTTTCGCACGAAATGAAGGTCGATCGGCAAAAACTGAGGAAAAATTGCGATTTTACTTGCCCCGGAGCAACCCTTTCGCACGAAATGAGGGTCGATCGGCAAAAACTGCGGAAAAATTGCGATGTTACTTGCCCCGGAGCAACCCTTTCGCACGAAATGAAGGTCGATCGGCAAAAACTGAGGTAAAATTGCGATTTTACTTGCCCCGGAGCAACCCTTTCGCACGAAATGAGGGTCGATCGGCAAAAACTGAGGTAAAATTGCGATTTTACTTGTGCCGGACTTGTCTGTGTGTAAAAGCGCCTGTGTGTAAAAAGCGTCTGTGTGTAAAAGCGTCTGTGTGTAAAAGCGTCTGTGTGTAAAAGCGTCTGTGTGTAAAAGCGTCTGTGTGTAAAAGCGCCTGTGTGTAAAAGTCTCTGTGTGCAAAAGCATCTGTGTGTAAAAGCGTCTGTGTGTAAAAGAGTCTGTATGTAAAAGGGTCTGTGTGTAAAGCGTCTGTGTGTAAAAGGGTCTGTGTGTAAAGCGTCTGTGTGTAAAAGTGTTTGTGTGTAAAAGCTTCTGTGTGTAAAAGCTTCTGAGTGTAAAAGCCTCTGTGTGTAAAAGCGTCTGTGTGTAAAAGCGTCTGTGTGTAAAAGCGTCTGTGCGTAAAGTAAAAGCGTCTGTGTGTAAAAGCGTCTGTGTGTAAAAGCCTCTGTGTGTAAAAGTGTTTGTGTGTCAAAGCGTCTGTGTGTAAAAGCGTCTGTGTGTAAAAGCGTCTGTGTGTAAAAGCGTCTGTGTGTAAAAGCGTCTGTGTGTAAAAGCGTTTGTGTGTAAAAACATCTGTGTGTAAAAGCGTCTGTGTGTAAAAGCAACTGTGTGTAAAAGCTTCTGTGTGTAAAAGTGTTTGTATGTAAAAAGTGTTTGTGTGTACAAGCTTCTGTGTGTAAAGCTTCTGTGTGTAAAAGCGTCTGTGTGTAAAAGCGTCTGTGTGTAAAAGCGTCTGTGTGTAAAAGCGTCTGTGTGTAAAAGCTTCTGTGTGTAAAAGCCTCTGTGTGTAAAAGCGTCTGTGTGTAAAAGCATCTGTGTGTCAAAGCGTCTGTGCGTAAAAGCATCTGTGTGTAAAAGCGTCTGTGTGTAAAAGCGTCTGTGTGTAAAAGAGCCTGTGTGTAAAAGCGTCTGTGTGTAAAAGTGTTTGTGTGTAAAGGCCTCTGTGTGTAAAAGCTTCTGTGTGTAAAAGCGTCTGTGTGTAAAAGCGTCTGTGTGTAAAAGCGTCTGTGTGTAAAAGCGTCTGTGTGTAAAAGCGTCTGTGTGTAAAAGCGTCTGTGTGTAAAAGCTTCTGTGTGTAAAAGCCTCTGTGTGTAAACGGGTCTGTGTGTCAAAGCGTCTGTGTGTAAAAGCGTCTGTGTGTAAAAGCGTCTGTGTGTAAAAGGGTCTGTGTGTAAAAGCGTCTGTGTGTAAAAGCGTCTGCGTGTAAAAGCCTCTGTGTGTAAAAGCGTCTGTGTGTAAAAGCGTCTTTGTGTAAAAGCGTCTGTGTATAAAAGCGTCTTTGTGTAAAAGCGTCTGTGTGTAAAAGCTTCTGTGTAAAAAGCTTTCTGTGTTAAAAGCGTCTTGTATGTAAAAGTTCTGTGTGTACTATTACCGACGGGTGGCCCGAGGCGTAGAGAGTGCAGAGTTCTTCATGTTAGTATGGAGAACAAACCGCCCTAACCGCCACTATATACAATCTATATTCTAATAATTTACTTATATTCAGACAGAGAAGAGTAGTATCAAACAATATATGAAAACTAGTACAAGACCATAGTTTTTGCATCGTATTTTGTAAAGTTTTTCAAAAATACACAAGAACTTTTTACACACAGACGCTTTTACACACAGACGCTTTTACACACAGACGCTTTTACACACAAACGCTTTTTACACATAGGCTCTTTTACACACAGACGCTTTTACACACAGACGCTTTTACACACAGAGCCTTTTACACACAGACGCTTTTACACACAGACGCTTTTACACACAGACGCTTTTACACACAGACGCTTTTACACACAGACGCTTTTACACACAGAGGCTTTTACACACACAAGCTTTTGCACACAGACGCTTTTACACACAGACGCTTTTACACACAGACGCTTTTACACACAGACGCTTTTACACACAACACTTTCACACACAGAGGCTTTTACACACAGAAGCTTTTACACACAGAGGCTTTTACACACAGAAGCTTTTACACACAGGCGCTTTTACACACCGACGCTTTTACACACAGACGCTTTTACACACAGACGCTTTTACACACAGACGCTTTTACACACAAACGCTTTTTACACATAGGCTCTTTTACACACAGACGCTTTTACACACAGACGCTTTTACACACAGAGCCTTTTACACACAGACAAAATCTTTTTACACACAGACGCTTTGACACAACCCGAACACACCACCTGCGAAACCCTTTTAACAAACACAACAACGAGGCTTACTCTCCACCCCACACACGAAAGCTTTTACACAACCCCCACTCCCACGCCTTGTTACATCACAGACGCTTTTACACACAGACGCTTTTACACACAGAAGCTTTTACACACAGACGCTTTTACACACATACGCTTTACACACAGACGCGTTTACACACAGAGCCTTTTACACCACAAGGTCCCTACTGTCACTTTACACCCACACACCAAGACTCTAGCTTATTTAACACACAGACGCTTATTACACACACTGACCTAAGCACCGTTTACACCCAGACGCTTTGACACACAAACCCTTTTACACACAGAGACCTTTTTTACACACGACGCTTTGACACACACAGAGACACTTTTACACAGACGCTTTTCACACAGACTTTTACACACAGCTTTTACACACAGATTTTGCACACAAACACTTTTACACAAACACTTTTACACACAGACGCTTTTACACACAGACGCTTTTACACACAGATGTTTTTAGACACAGACGCTTTTACACACAGACGCTTTTACACACAAACGCTTTTACAGACAGATGCTTTTACACACAGACGCTTTTACACACAGACGCTTTTACACACAGACGCTTTTACACACAGAGACTTTTACACACAGTTGCTTTTACACACAGACACACACAGACGCTTTTACACACAGAGGCTTTTACACACAGAAGCTTTTACACACAGACGCTTTTACACACAGACGCTTTTGCACACAAACGCTTTTGCACACACAGTCTTTTACACACAGACGCTTTTACACACAGACAAGTCCGGCACAGGAAAAATCGCAATTTTACCTCAGTTTTTGCCGATCGACCCTCATTTCGTGCGAAAGGGTTGCTCCGGGGCAAGTAAAATCGCAATTTTACCTCAGTTTTTGCCGATCGACCCTCATTTCGTGCGAAAGGGTTGCTCCGGGGCAAGTAAAATCGCAATTTTTCCGCAGTTTTTGCCGATCGACCTTCATTTCGTGCAAAAGGGTTGCTCCGGCACAAGTAAAATCGCAATTTTTCCTCAGTTTTTGACGATCGACCCTCATTTCGTGCGAAAGGGTTGCTCCGGCACAAGTAAAATCGCAATTTTACCTCAGTTTTTGCCGATCGACCCTCATTTCGTGCGAAAGGTTTGCTCCGGGACAAGTAACATCGCAATTTTTCCTCAGTTTTTGCCGATCGACCTTCATTTCGTGCGAAAGGGTTGCTCCGGGACAAGTCAAATCGCAATTTTTCCTCAGTTTTTGCATCGACACTCATTTGTGCGAAAGGGTTGCTCCGGCACAAGTAAAATCGCAATTTTTCCTCAGTTTTTGCCGATCGACCCTCATTTCGTGCGAAAGGGTTGCTCCGGCACACAAAAATCGCAATTTTACCTCAGTTTTTGACGATACCCTCATCTTATGCGAAAGGGTTGCTCCAGGACAAGTCAAATCGCAATTTTACCTCAGTTTTTGCCGATCGACCCTCATTTCGTGCGAAAGGGTTGACGTTTCGTGACTCGCCGCCGGCACCACCCTCGGCCTTAAGAGAGAAAGATAAAAAGAAGGCATGAGAGAGAAAAGGGAGAGAGAAAGGAGAGAAGATGTGAAGATGAGCAGATGTGAGAGAAGATGTGAAGATGAGCAGATGTGAGAGAAGATGTGAGAGAAGATGTGAAGATGATGTGAAGATGAGCAGATGTGAGAGAAGATGTGAGAGAAGATGTGAAGATGAGCAGATGTGAGAGAAGATGTGAGAGAAGATGTGAAGATGAGCAGACGTGAGAGAAGATGTGAGAGAAGATGTGAAGATGAGCAGATGTGAGAGAAGATGTGAGAGAAGATGTGAAGATGAGCAGATGTGAAGATGAGCAGATGTGAGAGAAGATGTGAGAGAAGATGTGAGAGAAGATGTGAAGATGAGCAGATGTGAAGATGAGCAGATGTGAAGATGAGCAGATGTGAGAGAAGATGTGAGAGAAGACGTGAGAGAAGATGTGAAGATGAGCAGATGTGAGAGAAGATGTGAAGATGTGAAGATGAGCAGATGTGAGAGAAGATGCGAAGATGAGCAGATGTGAAGATGAGCAGATGTGAGAGAAGACGTGAGAGAAGATGTGAAGATGAGCAGATGTGAGAGAAGATGTGAAGATGAGAAGATGTTTTACAGACCCCCACTATTGGAAGAACCCTGCGCTCAGACGCTCTCGGGAAAAAGTGTTTGGGTGTAAAAGTCTCTGTATGCAAAATCGTCTGTGTGTAAAAGCGTCTGTCTGTAAAAAGTTCTGTGTATGAAAAACTTTACAAAAATACGATGTAAACTATTGTCTTGTACTAGTCATATATTGTCTTGATACTACTCTTCTCGTCTGCCTATAATACATCTTTATCATATTATCTTGTAATATAGTGTCTCCATACTAACAATAGAAGACTCTGCTCCTCTACGCTCTCGGGCCACCCGTCGTCTAGTTTTGCTATAAAAGTGTTGAATTTCCTTGTTCATGATAGACTATTTATATTTTGATCCTATGTATATAACTATATATATATATATATAGACACACACACACTGTACATCATTGTACACATAATTTGGACAGATTTTGTATACTGCAATACTTGACCCGGGACTGGAATTTTGTCGGATCAAGTGTGGATGAATTTCATCTTGAATCAAGATGACTGAGGTGAAATTGGTATGATGATTAATTTTTGTTTTTTATCGGCAGGCACAGACAAGTCAGAGCCTTGCGGCGGCGTTTGGCCAAAGTGGCCATGTCTTCCAAGCCGCCGGGGGAAGCTCCGACCAGGCAAGATGTGGCGTGGTTTCAAGGTTTTCAAGCCTCCCTCTTACCATCAACTGCGCGGTTGGTAGTTCTTGAACCTTTTTCTTCAGAGATTACCTTCAGTGGGGTACGTCTCAAGTCCACTGCCAGCAGACTGACGCACTCTGAATGGAAGTCCCATAGAGACCTTACTGATGTTGGACAGCACACGGAACCAGCGGAACCACAGCACATTGAAGATTCGGGTCCTCCCTGGTCCCTCAGGCGAAGTCTAGGTGCCAACTTGGCAGTTGTGGTAGCAGGCGGGGTCAAAAGGGGTCCCAAAATCTGCGACTTGGCTAGGCTTTTGTCACTTTTTTAAATTCAATTTTTGGGCAAGTGAGTGATTTCAAGCACATTTTCACCAACTCGTGGGCATGTTGTCTGAACAAACAGGTGACAAAAGAAGTAGGCAAGTGCTCGTTCTCAAAATCGCTGGAATGAGATTGAATCATGTCGCTGGCAAGCGTACGGACAGTAATGAAACTCACGGGTCCCCGAAATGCTAGATTGACATGAAGAGCAGGTAGCCTACCTTTACTTCCCAGAAATTTGCTCCAGTTTGCTCTCAACATTAGACAACATTGGACAACATTGGACAACATTAGACATTTGTCAAGACTTTGTCGTGCCCATCATGTTTTGACGTCAGGAGTTCCGAAATCTGCCAGCGCAGAAGTCTTGTCGCGACCGGGGTCAGCAGCCACGGGTACCACCGGGACACGACGGCAGCTCTTTCGCGTAAAGGATCAAGACTGGCCGAAGGAGTTAGCCAGGTTCCTTTGAGGCACTCATTCCCATGTCATATCTGACCAAAGTGAACAAAGTGAACCAGTTGAGCCAGTGTTCATGTAAGTTTGCCTGCGCTGTGTGTGCGCCTGTCTTTTGTGTACCACGATGTCGATCGATCAGTGTGCAAATTTCACCCAAGCTTTCGCAGTCAGAAAGATGAAATCTAGCATCACAGCTGTCCTATGATGGTACTGATTCCAGTTTATGGGTCGTGTATGGTTCAACTTGGAGGTCATTCCAAGGAAATACATCCAAGGGAGTTCAAACCAGCCTTGAACGATTTTCGAAAGCGCCGAAATCTGCAGCTCCAATTCTTTAGGACCAACCCTGCAGACTTCCCGCACGAGTTGGCAGATGATTGCGATGTGGTAATTCTGGGGGAGCACCGCAACAGCAGCAGCGATCACTCCATGGAGGCGGACTTCACCCGCGAGTTCACCAAAGAACGCCGCGAAGCTGCAGCAGTCGGATTTTTGGGCTGTTTGGTGCGACGAAGTGATAGACGGGACCCCAGAAATGATGCGAACTCCTGGGGATGGCAATGTTTTATCAGCGAGTGTTTGGGACTGGACAGGTGGCTCCAGTTGGAAGCAGTGGCTTTATAAATGCAACCTCAGTGTCGCACTACAGTTACAGATTGAGCGCACATCTTGAAAGAGAATCTTCGAAGAATCCTCAATGGGAAATGCTCCTTTCAAATTTGGTGGGGACATCTACTCAATATACGATATTAGGAGGTAATTTGCACCAGGAAAAACTTGACACATCACGAAACATGGAAATGCAACAAAATGCATCAATGATCAGCAATGATCATAAATGATCATCAATCCATGAATGGAAGCGGACCTTCACCAAGAATTTGGTTGACTGCGACAGGTGGCAGGAGAGCAGGACTGCCTCCGGCCGTGGGACTGGAAATGGTAGAGCAGCCCCTTGGCCGAAAGGCACGACGTTTTTGGCTTGAGATTTCATTGTTTTTTGAATTGAAGGTTTTGCTCTTTTTGTTATAGGTGTAGGTCATTTTCAAACATTTGTTAAGGGTCAAAGTTGAAGAAGGACATTTCTGGGGAGGCAACACTCTTGGTGATTGTTATATAACGTAAAGGTGTTGCTGCGTTTGTCGTTGCCATTTGGACAGCAGAGGGCGCCCTTTAAAGCGGTTTCTTTTCTAGGCCTTGTCGTGCCCTGATCAAGGCAGTTTCAGCCTATTCTGGATAGTTTCGGAAGAGGAGAGATCAGTGTTGCTTGCCAATGCACGGCTGACCAGACTGCTGTCAAGTGGGTTGCCACGAGTTTGGTATTTTCTACTCAAAAGGCAACATGAAGCCTCGAGAGATGGTTGAAAGACGAAAGATCTTAGGAAGCTCAATCTTTTGTGGGTTGATAGTTCTGACGTCAGACTAGATCTTGCTTTCCAAGATTCAGGAGGATTCGAGGTTAATTGGACTAACATGACCAAATGGTTTTTCCTTGCAGGTTGCGAACAACTCTGCAGCAGGTCTTTTCCAGCTTCTAGATTTGAAGAATTTCTTCTCATTCCTCAGAGGTGACTGACTTGTACGACGCAACAGAATGGTCCACTCGGTGGGTCTGGCCATTCGAGTTATATGCCCCGGTCTTTGAAGCTGCGAAAGCCAATGGATCGCCCTTGGTAGCCCTGAACCCTGCAACCGAGGCTGGCCATGGGATGGATATGGCAGGATATGGATATACTCTGCATGATTGATGCGTGATAATACATACACCGCTATAATTATCAGCACAATATCAGCATAATATCAGCATTTATATATTGCATTTATAATATCAGCATAATAATCAGATGATTCATATGCATTAAAAAAGAACATTACTGTGATTGTATAGAGACGAATCATGTAGATATCGGGATGTACAAACAAGATAGTGAGAAGAGATGCAAGATATCAAATTAAGGGATTGCTTGTATATAATGTATTTCGAAGCAGGAATGAGCGCTCATTGAACAACCACTAAGTACTATCCAACAGACTCATCCACATTCCCAAAGCCGTGCCGTTGCTATCCCTGGCTAGCTTTGATTTGTCGAAGCAGCTCTGACCTTTCCATTGAAATCGCGGCAAGTTCACTGCAGAATTTCATTCGACAGCAATGACTATGCTTCTAAGCCCATCCCCCATTCATAACAGCCTCAAAATTTATGTGGGATTAATTAGCCTCTGGTTATTTAACATAGCCATGGGAAATGGCCCATAATGGCCCATAGAAATAGATGGTTTACGTTTAGCCATTAATAGCATGGTGGATCTTTCCGTGGCAAACTGTAGTCAGATGATCCCGTGGTCTCAGGTGCGACGGAAACTTCCTCTGGAAGGCTTGCAGGCCTTGACGCCTGAAGATCGTGGCTTGTGACTTGGCCGACGCTGCCCGCAGCACGAAAACCACAAAGCATCAACTCGGGGAAGTCACTTCTGAGGTCACTTCTGTTATTTTTTTTTCTCTTTTCGCAGTTTCTATTTGAACCATGTTAAACCATTCATTCCCATTCTTTTGGATGTCGAAAGTCTAAAGTCAGAAGATTCGTTTGACATCAGCGAAGTTATATTGCTTTGTAAAAAAACTCATCACAGGTTCGGATACCTCCAATCAGAACTGTTCAGATGCAAAATCTGCCAGGCTGTTGAACATCAGCCTTTGAGTTTCAGATTTCCTTCATCCATGGCCAGTGGTTATCCAGTGGGTAAGTTTCACTTATGGACGAAGATCCGTCATGCACGACCAGACCAGGTCACGTTTTGGTCGGCAACTTGTGAGCAGTTGAAATCCATGCAATTTCCAAGCTATGGTAGGCTTAAAGTCGCCATTTAGGAGTTGGCATTGCAGAATTCCTCAAATGTCGGTGTTGCCATGATCGCCAGCTTCTGGTCTGAAAGCCACACCATGTAAGCGGAACAGAAATCCTTCCCACCAACAATCTAACAATCCATGCGCACCATCGGGGTCGGGGTCGTCAGTTCCACTTCGTTTCCACTTCGGTGCAGTTCTGCCCGGAGATTTTTGTTCCAGGTTCGGTTCTACCTCCCAGGTACCTCCCCGATGCTTTGGGCTTCGCGGCCACACTGCGGGATCCCAACTTTCGGAGCTATGCAGCACCTTGGATCTGGTGATCTCGCAATGGTGGCCTTTGTGGATGGCAATCGGTGCGTTTTGATGCAAATTGGATGGTTTTGTCTGTCTGTTTAGTCTGTTTAGTAGTGGATGTTTAACGATGTCTGAAGGGTGGAATGAACTATAGCTGTGTCTGTTTAGTCTCTTTAGTCTGAGTAGTGGATGTTCAACGATGTCTGATATTTCTGAAGGGTGAAATGAACTATGTGTCGAGTCGGGCCCTCAACATAGATGTCGGTAACTGTCGGTAACAGGTAACAGTTGGATAACTCCGATTCGACGCAACCGTTACTCCCTAGGGCCGCTGTCAGTGAGGTTTCAAGACTGGGTTTCGTGAGGAAAGATCAGTGCAAAGCTCAATTAAGATGGGCTAGTCACTTTGAGGAATCCAAACATGAAACGTTGTTTCTTGATGTTTCTTGTGTCTTCTGACCATGGCACACAAGGCTGGAGGGACCTCAACATGTGGAATGGGCAAAAGCGAGATATTCCATGCTCAGCGTATCCATAATTCTAGTCATCAAAGTTGCACATGGCATGATGGTGCAAATCGAGGGAACATATTTCAAGGATTTTCTCCAGTAGAGGAGTTGCTAAGCCTGAAATTTGGGCATATGAAGTAGCTTGAGATCAACGATTGTAGTTCTGAACGGAGAAGCTGGGAATTTCCCTTTGAATCTTGGGATCTTGCGCTACAAGGATCTTGTCGTCATGCCCAGCTATGACACTCATGTGGCAGGCCAGTGGTTAGGCGCGCAAGTCGGGAATCTGAAGCATCATATTCCAACTATTTCCAACTGTATTGCGAAATTCTTGGGACCTACACCTTTGGTAAACTCACATGGTTCTGGGAAGATCAGGGACCATTTTTTTCTTCCTACAGCTTCCACAGGGAAGAACAAGATACATTACCCCCCGTTGCTACTCAAACACAGCGTGCTGGAAAAGCTCCTGTCGAAGATGATTAGAGTATTGAACATAGTTGTTTTAAAGTCATTTTCTCACCTTACTGAGTGAGCAGATGTATTGGCGGCGTATGTTTTGGGATAACGATTTCAGGATATTTCAATATGTTTCATCAGATATCATACATTCTGTATGATATCCCAGTGCCCAACCATGTACCATCACAGATCCCAGCAGACATCGCAATCTGAGAGGTAGCAGTGACAGCAATGTGGCGACGCCACAGAACTTCTTGAGCGCACGAGTCTTCAGGGACGAGGTTGTTTTCTTAGTGTGATTGGTTTTTGGACATACAAAAAAACTGTTGCTTCCCACTACTGAACCATGTGTGTGTGTATGTGTGTCAAGGAAAATCAACATTCTGCCCAGAGTAGGTATTGAACATGTATTCTTGTGATTTCTTGTGTATTCCTCAAATCCAGAGTGTACCAGGGCCGAAGAAGAAAAGGGACCCTCACAACTCCTCGAAGGGTCTGACTGGATTCGACTGGGTTCGACTGATATGCCTGACGAAGCGCAACGCGATTTCGCTTCAGCGCAATGAGGCCATGGCATATGCTGCCTGGCGTTATCTCAACAAGGACCAGCGGCGTGGCATGCTGCTCATCGTAGGCTGTGACCACGTGACATGTCGACTTGTGAATCTCGTTTGGATTCTTCAGGGAAACTGAGTTGGCGTGATAAACATTGGACTGCTACAATAAAAGGAGAGAAGAGAGCGTTTCCTAGGAACTCGAAGTTCTGAAGAGATTCCTTGTAGAATGCTCAATCATTCATGAAAGATTGGTATATGTTATAGTCTCCTATTCAATGTTATTCAGAATTTCAGAATTTTCATTGGGTCGGCGTCGCTAACACACAATCACCAGCTGGCACCGGCTGGTTGTCGCCATTGCTCAGGTGAGATACGACTACGGGATCCCTGCTCGGCTGAAGCGTTTGGGATCCGGTCTTAGCCGCTGGCAGGCAGAGAGGCTGGCCTGCCGAAGAGGGGTGAGCTGTCTGGTTTTTTCGCCTTTGTCCAGGCCTTCTGCAGTCAACTGTCAGATCTTGTTTCTTCCTCTATGATAGGAACCTCCGGACCTGTGATCCCCCGAATCTCTTGGTGCGCCGCCAGACAGCTGCTGCTCCGCAATGGGCCCACGCCCAGTGCGCAGATCTCTGGGCGATTGGCTCCTGGAGAGGTCTTTTCAGCAGAGGTTGAAGGGGACAATCTGCGTTTGCAGGCCGGAGTGGAAAACCCAGCAGGGGCTGGTTGTTGAACGGTTTGAATATGTTTGAATGCTTGGGGATCTTGGAACTCCAACACATGGAAGTTTTGAAAGTAAATGAGAGGAAAGAAGCGGACAGAATATGATCGAAGGAAGTTTAGAAGTCAAACTTCCGACAACATGGGCAGATGGAAAAGCAGATGTGGGACGAGTCAGAGAAGAGAGGAAGAAGAAAGAAGAGAAGAGAAAGAGTTAGAAGAAAGAAGGTGCAGGTGCGCGAAAAGGTAGAAAAGTCGTGAAGCACTGTGTTTTTCCAATGTTTTGTGCCTCTGGAAGGTTGAAAATTAGGCTCGCTAAAGCGGCGGGTGCAGAGCCATCTGGGCAGATGAGAGATCAAACATTGCACGCGGTTGTGGCGCGAAGCAGATTTGGAAGTTAAAAAGCTAAAAGACCTCACGTCCGGAGCAATTTTGGCAGTGGGGATGTCGAAAAAGCGCACGCCGCTGTAAGTCAAAATGTTCAAAACACTCCAGCGTCAGAGCACTTTTGGAAGTTGAGATGTTCAAAAAATGCATGCAATTGTGGCGCGAAGCACATGTCAAAATGGCAATGTCAAAATCACATCATGCCCGGACCGCATTTGGAAGTTGAGATGTCCAAAAAGTGCACGTCGTTTTCGCGCGAAGCACATTTCCCAGTCAAAATGTGCAAAGCGCACTACGTTCCGACCACTTTGGAAGTTGAGAAAGTGCACGCCGTTGTGGCGCGAAGCACATGTTGAAGTCAAAATGCTCAAAACACATCAAAACACATCAAAACACCACGTTTTCGGACCACTTTTCGAGGGCGCGACGTCGAAAAAGTGCACGGGGCTGTGGCCCGAAATACATTTGGAAGTCAAAATGTTGAAAACACTACATGTTTGGACCGCTTCTGGAAGTTCAACCGCACCGCACCGCACCACAGTACACTTACACTTACACTTACACTTACAACTGCAACTACAACTGCAACAGCAACAGCAACAACAACAGCAACAGCAACAGCAACAGCAACAGCAACAGCAACAGCAACAGCAACAGCAACAGCAACAACAACAACAACAACAACCACAACCATAACCATAACCATAACCACAACCACAACAACAACAACAACAACACCAACAGCACCAGCAACAGCAACAGCAACAGCAACAGCAACAACAACAACAACAACAAGAACAAGAACAAGAACAAGAACAAGAACAGCAACAGCAACAGCAACAGCAACAACAACAACAACAACAACAGCACCAGCACCAGCAACAGCAACAACAACAACAACAACAACAACAACAACAACAACAAGAACAAGAACAAGAACAAGAACAGCAACAGCAACAGCAACAGCAACAACAACAACAACAACAACAACAACCACCAAGCTCCTCCTCCTCCTACTGCTGCTACTACTACCACCACCACCACCACCACCACCACCACCACCACCACCACCACCACCACCACCACCACCACCACCACTGCCTACTACCTACTACCTACTACCTACTACCTACGACCTACGACCTACGACCTACGACCTACCACCTACGACCTACCACCTACCACCTACCATCTACCACCTACCTACCACCTGACTAGACTGGATTAGACAAGACCAGACCAGACTGGACCATACCACACCGCGCCACGCTATGTTACGCTACGCTACGCTACGCTACGCTACACCACAACAACTACAACTACAACCGCAACCACAACTACAACAACCACAGCCACAACCACAACAACAGCAACAACAACAACAGCTACAACTTGAACTACGACTTGAACTACAACTTTAACTACAACTGTACCTACAACTGTAACTACAACTGTACCTACAACTGTACCTACAACTATAATTACAGGAACTACAGCAACTACAGCAACTACCACTACCACTACACTACGCTATATTACACTACACTATATTACACTACACATCACTACACCACACTAAACTACAGTAATTGCACCACACTAAGACCTACCACTACACTACACTACAACTACTACAGCTACAACTACAACTGCAACTACAAGTACACTACACTACACAATACTATATCTAGCAGTTGTGGTGGGGTGACCACTGCAACCAATCCAAAAAACACAACTCCAACCACCTTTCGGTCCATCAGTAGATCGCTCTGCCACCCATGCATCACAACAACTCAGCTCTCCTATAGTTTCCTATCTTGAAAGCTTCCGCCACCGCTTTGTGCGGCACTGGCACCTTTGAACTTGAACTTTAGTCCCGTTCATTTTCTTGTGTACCAAATGGGGCCGGTTTCTTTACCGCCAAAGCAACAACAATCATAATTCCAGGCAGGTGTTCAGGATTCACATTTTTCCTGTACAACATTTTTCATTCAAGCAGCGCTGAGTGGCAGAAAAAAAATATCTTTTCCAACGGTCCAAACATTTGATGTTTTTTGCCCAACCCTCTCGTCAGGGACAGCGAGGCTTTGTGCTATCCGAGGGTGGCACCGGCACTTTGGGTGCCTCTTTGGTGGAGGGACGAAAATTGAAGGTGGCCACTGTGTTGCTGAACCCCACGGCCAATGAAGGCGGGGCCTCTTGGGGCCGGGGCACCTACTTGGCACCAAACTGCTTTCAAAGTGATGGAACCTGCTTTGGTGAAACTGAAATTTTTGACCACATCATTGTGTCATTGTGTCGGGTTCTTGTTTTTCTGTTCTGCACGTGGCCGCCTTCTCCTCCTCTTCCGCCACCTCCGTCACACAACTCATTCACACATTCTCACACACACACGCGCACACACACACACATACAACTCTCTCATACTCTCTCACATACAACATTGTCACACAACACTGTCTCACACCAAAATTGTCACACAACTTTGTCACACACACACACAACTCTGTTACATGCTCTTGGAGAGTGGCCGGCGTGGCATTCAGAGCAGTTGGGTTAGCATAGCAGGCGTGGCATTTACGGCAGTGGCTGGGGTGGACCGCCTTGGTCTGAAGTGATGCCGGCTGCTTTTTGCGTGGCAGGTTCGGCAGTTTCTGCTGCTCATGGAATTTTGTGTGCGTAAATTTGTTGTATATACAGAACTGGTGTAAATCATACCTATGCATGCTTGCAATACGTAGTCTTCCCCACACTGTCTTCTTTTCCGATCCGTCTTCCACCTCCTCCTTCCTCTTTTCTGTCTTCCCGTCTTCATTTTTTCACCTATTCGCTGCTTGTTGGAAAACATGTCATTTGGATTTGTTTGTAAGTGTTTGTTTGGGATTTGCGCTTCTAAATCCATTGGAGTGACACCAATCAAGGCCAGATTCACAGAGAAGGGACCAAGGAATCCATTCCAAAGGTGGGCGCTCAGTTTCCATTCATCTTGTAACCCAACCTTCAGCATCCCACTTAGCGAAGGCCTAGAATTCTTGAATCATACCTGGCCATCCCCATATGTCCCCATGTTCCAACGTGTTCCAACATGTTCCAACACGTTCCAACAGCTGTTCCAACAGCTGTTCCAAGACTGGCACGGCAGGTTTGGCGAACACAGGCGCACCGCGCTGGAAGTTGCCTTCTGATAATGCAACAGGGCCAGCCTTGGCCGATTACATTTGGGCTGAAGCCTAGGTGTGGGGGCCCAGGGCTCAGGGCTTAAATGTTTTGACCGTTGTGGGATGCTTTGGCTGGTTGAATCATGTTAAACAGTAAAAGTACGAATATATATACACGACCTTTTCAGGACATTTGTCCCCGAGGTCATGCGCAGGCTTACTTTTTGACTGCCAGAGCCCTCTTCTCCCACAATCAATGATGCGCTTGTACGGCAAGGGGTTTCACCAAAGATTCCTAAGATCAGGCACCATCCCAACCTTGACTAATTTGGATGATGTAATGACCTCGTTGAAATCATGCAACGAATTCTCCTGGCCGCATCTGTTTGGGTTCAAGGTGGATAGATTCGGATAGATGCTTGGCCGCATCACTAACGAATGGTGAGATAGCCAGAGTCTGTGGATGTGTCGCAACCGGGTTCGAAAAAAAAACAGCTGACACAATGTCACAAGATATCACAAGTGATGCTCACAGTCCCCGCACCCCGGCATCAATGTTGAAGCTGCGTGAATTGGAACTGCCAACAAAAATGGCCGTTTTTACAACAGTGGTAGCCTGCCCCACGTTCCAACATGTTCCAACAGCTGTTCGGAAGTTGCCTGGCCGGACAATGCAACAGGGCCGCCTTGGCCGATGACATTTGGGCCAAAACCGGCCGATGGTTGTGGGATGTTTTGGGTTGGTTAAATCAAAACCTATGAAATACATTGAAGCAACCAAAAACACCATATTTGGGCGGTTTATTCACATCCAAAAATCATCAAAAATCCCAGCGATCCTGGTGTTCACCATCTGAGATCATTTGGGGTCGGATTGGAACATTTTGGAGAGCCGAGGTCATGGCCACGAGCCGAAGTGAACCTGATGTCAGCGAGTTGTATAGGGAAATTTTCAAGCTGACAGGAAGTTGTACATTCTGGCAGAGCTTTGTTTCCAAGTGGATTTTTGTGGCTCAAAACAGCTCAACACGTATCTTAGTTTTGGAGACGTACCTGACGTACCTTGAGGGTCCGATGCAAAAAGGCGAAGGGTAGGGCTTGCCGCTTAGTCGTGGAAAGGTACAGAGCAATGGAACATGAGGAATTCTTCATCCATTTAGGGATCACACAGGCTATTGGTCTGAATTTTTCAGTTCTTTTGCAACAAACTGCCATGCAATCCTCAAGCCGGAAAACAAACGATGTGTGCAGGATCGAAGTGGACCCTACGCCATTCCCTCCTTGGATGATGAGCGTGTGGAACCCCAACCCTGCCGTGGGCCTGTTAGGTCTGACTGGAAAGCCAAAGCCAGAATCTTCGCAATCTTCCACTATTTTCAAAGAGGTAAGTGTTTTGAGGCCGGCCTTTCAGCCTCCCCAGTGCCCCCAAACGCCTAGATGATGGCTTCAATCATGCCCATGTGTGGCTTCCCCGATCCCAACTTCTGGCCCAACTCCTGCAACCTGAACCTCTATGAGGCGCGCTGATGTGTGGGCAGTGGACAGTTCCTGTTTCCCCATGCTGTTTTAAAGCTCAAAGCACTCAAGGTCTGTCCATCTTCATTCCCGTACCGTACAATAATCTCAACCCGTTTTCTGGCTGCAATGCAAGCTCCATGGCATTTACTTGCTTTTTGGAGGGTTTCATTCCGCATCAGTTTGCTTTATGAATCACCCTGGGTCTGGAGCGAACTTCACACCTCAGTTGCTATCAGTCAAGAAGTCGACTTGCCGTCCATCCTAGATGCGCAAGTCATGAAACGCATCAAAACATATCGAGGTTTTGCACCAAGCAGATCCCATAGGTCACTGTAGGGTTGGGAGATTCAGTCCCACGTGACGCACCGCCAGGATGGAGGCATGTCTGTGGGTTGGCACTCCGATGATGAGAGCCTCTTCCAGGGAAAGCTGGTAGCTTGACGGACTGGATGGGTGTGAGGACGGGTGAGGGCGGGTGAGGGCGGGTGAGGACGGGTGAGGTCGGTACTGCTGATGGATGTTGGGTCATAAATTGGAACTATCCCGTCGGCGGGAAGCATTCGATGGGTCAATTTGCACGATGGGCGGCGAAGCTCAGGTGGACATACGGATCCTCTCCCTGTCCTTGGGTGCGAGGTAGGTGCTGTTGATTATAGAAGCGCCATGTCCCACCATGCCATGGTTGAGAACGAACTGCAAATATATAAGCCCTCCGAACAAGTGATAGACGACATGGACGCTAAGAATTAGAGATTTATATAATAAGTGATGCCTGCCCACAACTCTATGTGGACATGTTTACCAGCTACATATCTATACATTGCAGATCGCTTGGTGGAATGGTGAGAAGCCCATCCTCCAAATGAATACACCCCATTGTCATGAAACGATGACGCGCAGGCGAAAGTTCGAGTTGAGAGCAAACTGGCCAGACGAGCCAGAGCACCCCAAGAGCGTGATGTTGAGCCACCTGGCGGAAAAGGATTTTCTGGATATGATTTATCACTATGTATCCATATAATTGTATACATGTATGGACCTGTATAGAACTGTTTGGAAATGTATTTCCTGTATACCTACATATGATATGACATCATATGATCATCTATTGAGAAGTGCATAGCGTATGTTTTTGTTTTCAGAACATGCATGCATCGTTGTGGCGCTAGGTCAAGGGAGCCATCTGTGCCACGTCCCGGCGTCAGGTGATGGAGATATGATGACCATGGAAGGCATGACGCAAAAACATTTCCAGCATCGAGTCCCAAAGGAGGCCTGTGCCGGTGCCAAAAAAAAAAGGGACATTTGTTTCTTTGCTTGGAACTTGTGGAGAGCAAGTAATGTGTTGACGATATAGTTGCCAAAATGGCTATGCCATTTTGGCTCAAGCTGTTCCCCCTGCGATCCAATACTTTCGAAAAACACGTTCCGATCCTTTTTCTTTGGCCATGGCGGCTTCTAGTCCAGTGGCTAGTGAGACTGGCACCGTGGGCTCTTTCTCGCTGATTGGGACAGATTTGGACGCAGGGGACGATTACATGGTGCTTTCCACCCAGGTGACTGAGGCTGCGCCGGCCGAGGTTATTACAGAGATTGAAGATGATCCCGCCATCACCAGGGAGACTCTGGCTTCGCAGCTCCATGAGATGGAGAAAGTGATGGCAAACTTGGGCTTGGAACCCAAGCCGGAGACAAGTGTGGAAGCGTCAAGTGGGCAACCTCCGTCGGGTTTCGTCCATGCAGAGGCACAGATTCCGACCCAGACATCACGGGTCTTAGAGAAGGAGACGTTGACACTCCACATGGATCCGACCACAGAGACCTTCACCATCGAAGGCTGGGCACCTTTGATTCCAGCCCTGCCTCACTCGGCGGCCAAGTACTTCAGAGACATTACGCATGGTGAGCTGCGTTCCCTTTTGGATGCTTTCCGCAGTTCTCCGTGGACGGCATCCTTGGTGGTCAAGATCGCAGAGGTGTACCACATTTCGAAGCGCGAGGCTGTCCACACACAGATGTTGAAACTCCGGCACACCACGCAGCGTGGGGGATCCATGGTGAATTTGAAAGAGAAGGACCCTGGAACTTCTCCGCAATTAGTTTGTTCTGATTGCAATGCACCGTGGGGACAGTTATCCAAATGTTTGCTTTGTCAAGGCACTCAGCCTGTTGACCTGTCAATGACACCTTTGTCAGTGATTGAGGTGGCCGGCCAGTCCTGGCAACTTAGGCTCACTGAGGCGGGACCGACTTGGGTTCCCACAGATACTAAGGTTACTAAGGCCTCAGGCTTTGTGGAAGTGGGAGATCTTGGCCGACCTCCCCCTGCGGCAGCTTCGGGCGCCGGTACGGGGCTGGTCAGCTTTTCGGAGCAAGTTCCTGCCTCCCAGCGCATGACACTGCAGCAGCACGTGGTGGCCTTCGGGCAGGACGAGATCTTTCATCCAGATGGCGAACGCCCTCCTACTATGGATGATAGAGACTCTACTCAAACTGCTGTGATCTTTCATCCGAAGACCATTGAACTGATGCGCTTCAAGGTGGACTTGCTGGCAACACCAGAAGAAGAGCTTACGGAAGCGGCACAGGAGGCCAAGAGGAGGAAGAAGGAGATTCAACACCAGCAAGAGACTGTGGCGATGGAAGATGAGCTGCATACACTGACTGCCATCCAGCAGGGGGCACAGGAAACCCAGAATCCGGTCAGTGCCAAGATGCTCCGCCACGCTGACCTCCAGCAGTTTCGGTCCTACCTCAAAAGAAAACATGAAGAAAGTGGTCTCACCTCCTCTTACGAGGCTTTGGTGGCGGCACAGACCACACAGGAGAAAGCGGCGGCCGCCAACAAGGCTCTGGACACAGAGTTCAGAGACCGACGCAAGGCCCTCAAGCCCATTGAAGTGGCGTCCTTTTCACTATGGACCCCGGCCCTGCAAGAGGCATGGCAGAACAACCTCTTCGCGCCGGCCATGGGACCTCAGGGCCCTGAACAATTTGACATGGAGGCACTGAAGCAGCCCTACCTCCGAATGAAAGAGCTCATCAAGGATAACAAGCCTCCGCTGTCCCAAGACCGCCTCATGACGGAGTTCCCCAAAACGCAACTCGACATGTACACCACGGGGACGGAGATGATATCTTCCCAAGAGGCCCAGTTAGCACGACTCCTCCCGCCGGACAGCCTGGAACGCAAGTACGCAATCCTTGACTCCATCTTGCAGTACCACAAAGGTGAAGTCAGAGCCTGGGGCGGAGAGTGGGAACTGCGACAGGGCCCGCTCATGGCACCTGCCTGGGCGAAACCGGCACCTACGGCTGAGGTCTTGGCTTTGGAACTCAGGACAAACCCGCTGGGCACCTCCTTCTACACGCCCAAAACCTACACAGAACAGGTGGTCCTGCAACAGATTGCCGAGGGCAAGCGACCAGACCTGGACAAGATCATTGGCTTCTTCTGGGCCCCGGGGACGGCGGTAGCTTCTGGCACCGACGATACCCACCTGGTTCGGAGGGTGCAATCATGGGACCTTCCCTCCATGATCACGATGCTTGGACAGTCCTGGACGTTCAAGGAGATCTACCAGGCTTGGTGTGGCATGCCGCTGATCGTCAAACCGATGCGCAGAGGGCATGGGGAAGGCATCTGCCAGAAGAAGGTGGCAGAGTTGGCGGCACACCGGCAGAGGACTTCAGAGATCAAGTCCTTCCTCACCAGTGTGGGCCTCCGGTTTCCCCAATCACAACATGAAATCAAGCTGCTCTACAAGGAAATTGGCAGCTTTTTGGCTGCCTCGGTTTTCTTAGCCAGAACCCCAGCGGTGGTCTTGGACTTGCCCGAGCAGGACATCCAGGACACAAAGGAGCAGCTCCGTTTTCGAGCGGTTTGTGATGAACGCATCACCTTGCCCTTGGATGCTTTCAGGCAGCTCCCGGACGTTTTCCAGGCGCTGTCAGCCACTCTGGGGGCCCACAGCATGGTGCAAGTGCAAGTTGCCTGGCGGTGCAACTGTGAGCTATGGTGGGTTGCCCTGGTTCCCCATGAGAAGGCGGAGAGCTTTTATTGCCGTCTGGGCTACTCCCAGGCAGAGATTGATGGCTTCCTGAAGACTGCGCTGGAACCGGAGGCTCTGCAGGCGACTACGGTAGCTTCGGGCACCGGTAAGTACCCAGAGCTCTCCTTGGAGAACGTGGTGTCCATATGCAGCCCCAAGTACAAGCGGGAGCACTACGGCCACCGGGGAGTCCATGCCTTTTGGGGCCGCACCGATTGCGGGCTCATCCTCAGCAGTATCAGTCCCTGGGAACTGAAGACGAAAGAGGCTGGAGTGACTTGTGGGGGCTGGGTCTGCAAGGCCTGCCAGGGCTTTTGGAGACAAGGCAAAGGAGCTTCCCGCTTTGTCCAATTGCTTGGAGAGCACAGGGGAGTCAAAGTCAACCTCCAACTGATTTTGGACGAGCCACCTCAACAGCTGTACAACAGCTGGGTGAAGTCCAGGCTTGAGTATTACAAGCGAGTGGAGCCGACTGCGGCCCCGCGAGATGTGGCCTTGGAAATTGACCCTGACCACACCCAGCGCTTGAAGTTTTCATGCCAGAATGGAAATGGCAATGTTTCCAACGCCATTTGGTCGGTCCTTTTGAGCAACCCGGACCTCGAAGGCCTTCAGAAGATCAACGCGCTGGCAGCGAGCCGAGTCCAGCCGGCCTGAGAGCTGAGTGTTTGCGAGGGGCTGTTTTTACTGACCTGGTGGCCTGGTAGCGTCTTGCACCAACGTCACCACTCGGTTCTGCAGACACCTTCCCTTTTTTGTATGAATAGCATTGGTTGCGCACCACGACAAGGGCCAAGACAGGGGCCAGACCGCTGGGATGCCAGCTCACACAGTAAAAAGGGAAACCTGCATGTGGCTGCCTCAGAATCATTTACAGCATGTGGCTATTTGAACATTGCTGCGTTTTACCATGTTTTACCTTGGTTTGATGTTATTGGTATCCTTTCGGGCTTCGCCCATTACGCTGATGTGACAGATGTCCATGTGACTTGCACTCAGTTCTGTCCAGTTGCAACCCGGATGGTTTTTCCTGGGCTTTCGGTGTTGTTCTTCCTGCTTGCCTTTTTCACGTGTTAGTGCTCCGCACACCCGCAGTACCCTTTTTGGGCCAGGCTTGGCCATAGTAGAGTCGGGACATCATGGAACCCGATCTTGTGCGTAGAACACCCTTTGGCCTGGCAATGGTTCGGCTCCCTGAACACATGCGAGACAGCCTGCTGGACCATGGCATTTTCCCCACACAAACGGAGGGGGAGTTGTTCATGCAGCTCTGCATGCAACAAGTGCCACCGGACCATCCGGAGGCCATGGATGGGGGAACCTGGACCTCTCGGGTACACCCCAGCAATGACATCGACCCAATGAACGTGGCTCACAGTAACTCCATGATGGTGGCTACCACGCCCTGGATGGAAGACTTTGTGGCAGACTGCATGAACCGGGTGCCACAACCAGCGCCCCCAGAAGAGAGAGATAGGACCTATGATGCATGTTTTAGCCTCTTCACTTTGATTGCGGGCGCACCAGATTCAGCCTTCCACACACCCCTTCAACAGCAACAGGAAAGCATGGACCGGGCTAGATGGCGAGCCTTTCATGCACGGCCTCCCATAATGGCCATTGTGGAGGCCAAATGGAGGCACTGGAAGCCTGGGCGACTCAAGGAAGAGTCGGCTACAACCCAAAGGAAGTTAGAACTCCACCTCAGAGACCGCTGGGCAGAAAGGATCATTGGGCTCCTTCTGCCATTTGCCAAAAACATCCCTTACCTGCATGCGGTCCACGGGGACAATGTTCACCAGGAGTACTTGGACCTCCTTGGAGACACCAGGTTCAGGACCTTGCGTATTCACTGCCTTTGCTTCGAGAGCATCCAGAAATTGGGCTTCAACACAATTCCTTGGAAAGAAAGTGATATTAGATCTCTTCTGAACACCCTGAGGGACCAGGAGGTCATACCACACAAACTCCAAGGGATATGGAATACCCTACGATGGTTCTCGGCCAGGTTTGGCCTCCTTGACCCTGACAGTCTCGAACGTCTCAAGGCAAAAAGGAAGACCATCCAAGAAGGCCTGGTGGAGACCAACATCAAGCCTCAGCGCAAAGCCCAGCTGCCTTCCAAGGAAGTAATCATGCTTCTGGAAAAGGTTGCATCGGGCGCAGATCCCACTGGCCCAACGACAGCCAAGAGTACCCTGGACAGGTACATCTGCGCCAT